ACGTTATACAAAATCTTATGTGATAATGCAAGATCGATGTACGAACTAAAGCCCACAGCCTTAATGAAGAAAAGAGACAATTGGAAATTGAAAACTTTTTTTGAAAGCTTTCTTAAAATCTGTCCTGTGGTTCATGATATATTTTGCTAACACAGATAAACACACATACAGACATGAGCAAAATAGTTGTTGCCCTTTTTCCTTCAGGCATTACTTAAACCTACAAAAAGAACACAGATAATGACTATTTAAAAACGTGAATGATTAATGCAAATGAATCTTTTAATCAGAAGAAAGGCTCRGCTTTCATAAAACCATTAATGCTAAATTTAATGCACAGGTCTTGAATGAACACGAATTGCCAAACAAATCTTGCCTCAAACATTTCAGTGAGATAATGGCAAACCAAGTCCTTCAATCAGAATAGTAGTAGAATTGTACATAGCTAATTGCTTTTTAAAAAAAACACATTTTGCACATTTTATTTTGCTTCATTTTAACCATGCTGTATTTAACATATATCGACTTACAGATAATTCCTTTAAGCAATCAGCATTTTAGCTGGCATTTCTAATGTCATGAATTCAGAGCTGCAGCAGACACAATTGATTGTCACATCAATTAACCTTATTAACATAAGGATAAATCTAACACCGGTTCTTTTTTGAAAGAACCTCAGTGTTTCCATGTCATARCAGTGATAAAAAGAGGAATGACGAATTAAATAGGTGTTGCACACAACCATTCKGAATATTTAATAATTCATACATTATTACCTTTTTGCACCCTGTTGATTTGTTTTTGATAGAAAATAACAATGGGCTGTCCAGATTGTAGCCACTGTTGTTTTCCCCCTTTTCTTTCATTTTTGTGTTTTTTGTGGGTTTTTTTTTTTTTTTTTTTGAAGAAAAGGTCATGCTTGTCAAATGCAACATACGCCTCACCACATGAAAGGAGACGGACGTGCTGACAAACACATGAACATTATGTTAGCGGTCACACCAGGCCACACAGACATAGGATAATACTCCTGTGTCCTCCGCTGGCATTTCACATCACAGCCGCTCTGCCCTTAAACAACCGGACATCTGTCCATCCCATCTGGCCCCTTCACTGACACGTGTCTTTCTATAGATGCCTTCCGATAGTATGCAATCCTCAGCTCCCTAACATAACCACTCTTAAAAATGTCCAACATTCATTATTATCATCTTTATGAATTCACTTTATTGCAAGACAAACAAACATGTACCATATAATTAAATGTTTCCAGAGGTGACCGTACAAATTAGTAAATGTGGATGTGTGTGAGCGAGTGCATGTGTCTATGGGAGAAAAGAAAATTACAGTAATTRATTAAAAATAATAATAAAATTGAATCAAAGGGGTATAATTGTATTGTGTTTGTAACAAGTTAATAAGCAGAGACCAGATGGAGATAGAACAGAAG